AGAGTAGATGCTACAAGCTGTGGCCTCATAGCACCATCATTGTGGTCTGCAAATCCCTTAATAGCCAGAGTCCCCAATGTAGTCTGACCTGGGCTTGATCCTTTCAGTGAATTCTTTTCTTTTGTGGAGTATAGTCATGGTTATTGCTGCAAACGGAAAAGTTTAGTAGGCATTGTGGTGTATACACTCAGACCTGTGTCAGTGATGGGAAATGCCTGTTTTCAGGGCAGCTTTGCAGATGTAGTTCTTCTTGGGTTTTGTAAATCATTGCTCATCTCTGTCTCATTTTTATTTCTCTTCTGATGCACAAGTCAGCATGTTGAATTCATTGTAACTACCTTGTGCATGTGGGCTGGGAGATTAGATTACTAAACGTATGTTTTAAGTAGTGTGTATAATTAGCTAAGTAAAGAGCTGAGACACTCAGCCACTTCAATATTTAAAAGTACGTGATTAATGTTGAGCAAGAGATTTGTATTTGAGGCTCTAAAGAAAAGGCATGTGTGGTTTTTTCAATTATTTAAAATTGCAGTTGACATTCAGTATTTCGTTAGTTTCAGGTATACAGTATTGTGGTTTGACACTTATATAACTTATGAAGTAATCCCCCCTTAAGTCTTTCACCCACCTGACACTATATATAGTTATTGCAATATTATTGACTATATTCCCTGAAGTGTGCTTTTCAATCCATGACTGTTTTTATAACTGCCAACTTGTACTTCTTAATCCCTTTACCTTTTTCACCCAGCCCCCCAACAGTTTGTTTCTGTTTTGTTTGTTTTGTTTTGTTTTTTAGATTCTACATGGAAGTGAAATCATATGGTATTTATCTTTCTCTGTCTGACTTGTTTCATTTAACGTAATACCCTCTAGGTCCATCCATGTTGTCATAAGTGGTGAGATTTCATTATTTTTATGGCTGAGTAATATTCCATTGTATATATATGTACCACCTTTTCTTTATCCATTCATTTTTTGATTGGAGCATTTAATTTATTTATATTTGCATTTAAAATAATTGTTGATAGGTCTGCAGTTATTGCCATCTTATTCATTGTTTTCTGATTATTTTTGTAGTTCTCTGTTTCTGTTCTCTTGCTCTCCTCTCTTGTAAGTTGATGACTTTATTTCTTATATATTTCTTGCAGTTTTTTGGTTTGTGGTTAACATATGCTTCACATATACTAAGCTATTTTTATAGCAGTCTATTTTAAGTTGATGGTCACTTAAATTCAAATATATTCTAAAATCACACTATTTTTACTCACCCCGTCCACATTTATGTTTTTTGTAATTGTATTTTACTTCTTTTGTGTGTGCGTGTGTATCCCTTAATTTACTGTTGTAATTACACATGATCTTTCTACTTTTGCCTTTTAACCTATGTACTAGCTTTAGTGTTGGTTGATCCGCTGCTTTTATGATGTTTGCCTTTGTCAGTAAGAATTTTTTCTTTTCAATATTTTCGTTTCATATTTTTTATTTTTTGCCTTCTTCTTAGAGAATTACCTTTAACATTTTTTTAAATTTATTTTCATTGTTGAGAGTATTGCAGATGTTGCCCATTTCTTTGTAATATTGATTTGGTGGTAATAAACCCCTTTAGCTTTTTCTTGTCTGAGAAACTCTTTATCTCTCCTTCGATTCTAAATGATAACCTTGCTGGAAAGAGTAATCTTGGTTTTAGGTCTTTGCTTTGCATCAGCATGTTCATTTTCTAAAGAGTGTGAGATTTTTTAATATTTAGTATTTTTAAAATATTTTTGAGGAAATTTTTAAAATAAAGAAACATACGAAGAATAGCATAACACCCATATTCCCACCACCTGGAATTATCTCTCCACATTTTACTAAGTATTGTTTTAGAGCTTTTAATTTAAAAAATGAGGCATTATAGAAATTAAATTGTATTATTCTACATACAACCTCCCAAAGTCATTCTCTTCTTCCATCTTTCTAGTAAAAACCTCTATCATGAAACTAATGAGTATCTTTCCAGCCTGTATATAAACATAGATAGAGGTTTATATGTATGTTTACACACATATGCAGGCATCTGTGAACAACAGTTGTATAGGTACCATTTATAATCATATATACAATGTGGCACATTGCATGCAGGGACAATAGTAAGGAACATGTATTGAGTGATTGCACTGTACCTGGAGCTGTACTATTTCCATCCTTTCAAGGGCTGTATGTAGTAGGCACTGTTATTATCTCCTTTTCTGGGAAACCAAGGTACACAGAGAGGTCAGGGTGAAAAAGTAGTAAATTAATCCTATAGCCAGGCTCTGGAGCCTGAGCATGTGACCATCATGCTACATGGCCTCTTCACTGTATCACTGTACAGAATTCTTCACTCTCTCGATACCATGTTTCTGATATCTGTAATTGTTTTTTTATTAAATTTATTAGGGTGACATTGGTTAATAAGATTATATAGGTTTCAGGTGTACAATTCTATAATACATCATCTGTGTATTGTATTGTGTGTTCACCACCCAAAGTCAAGTCTCCTCCTGTCACCATATATGTGACCCCCTTAACCCTTTACTACCCACACCACACACGCTTCCCTCTAGTAACCACCATACTGTTATCTGTGTCTGTGAGTTTTGTTTTGTTTGTTTTTCCTGTTTGTTTATTTGTTGCTTTCAGTCTTATATCCTACATATGAGTGAAATCATATGATTCTTAACTTTTTCTGTCTGACTTATTTGCTTAGCATGATATTCTCAAGGTCTGTCCATGTTGTCACAAATGGCAGTGTTTCATCTTTCCTTATGGCTGAGTAGTATTCCATTGCATATACAGGGGTGGGCAAAAGTAGGTTAAATTACCAGCCATCAAAAGATAAATCATAAGTAAGGATACAAAATAATAATGATAACAAGAAGGCATAATACAAATAAATCATACAATAATAAATAATACAAGAATAAACTCTGTCTTGCATACTCACAACTGTAGACCTACTTTTGCCAACCCCTATATGTACCACATCTTCTTTACCCAGTCATCTACTGCAAGACACTTTGGTGTTTCCTGTCTTAGCCATGTCTTAGCCACCATGAATAATGAACATAGCAGTGTGTATATCTTTGTGAATAAATGTTTTCAAATTTTTCAGATAGATACCCAGAAGACCGGTTGCTGGGTCATATGGTAACTCTATTCTTAATTTTTTGAGGCACCTCCATAGCGGCTGAGGACCTGACCACACTTGTCCCATGTAATTGTTGATAAGACAGCCAATAAAAATATATCTAGTTCATGGTTATCCCATATTCCATTAAATGAATATAATAAAAAAGCAGTATTGCATGGTGGTTAAGACCTGCAAAATAGGAATGGTGAAAGTTCCTGTCTCACAAGGTTGTCATGAGAAATAAATGGTTTAATTCAAATAGAACAGGTAGAACTGTACCTGGCATGGAGTAAGCACCCAATAAATGTCTGCTAGTATTTACTATTACCACCTATCCATTACCCCATTGAACCTAATCATTAGGTTTCCAATTTTTCATTACTGCATATATTGCCACAGTAAAAGCCCTGTGCCTGTAAATCAAAGTTTCTTTTGAGTATCTGCCTAGAAGAAGAATTGATGGTTCATAGGGTATGCATGTTTGCAGTTTTACTTGATTTTGCCAGAGCCAGCTGTACCAGTTTACACTGCCTAGCGCAGGTGTCTGCAGTTCACATTTCCCCAGATCCTTAGCAACAGTTGATATTGTCTGACTCCCCATTCTCCCCTTCCCCAGCCTCTGGCACTGCTAACCCACTTTCTGTCTCTGGATTTGCCTCTTCTGGACATTTCACATAAATGGAATCATATCATACATGGATTTTTGTAGCTGGCTTCTTTCACTTCCCTTAATATTTTTGCGGTTCATCCACTTCGTAGCATGTATCAGCATTTTATTCCGTTTTATGGTCCAGTAATAGTTCACTATGTGGATGTACTGCATGTTGTCTCCATTTTTCAGCTGATGAAAATTTGGGTTGTTTCTACCCTCGGTTCTCATGAATAATGCTGCTGTAAACATTCATGTGCAAATTTTTATATGGACATACATTTTTATTTCCTTGCCTATACATATATTTATATACCTAGCAGTGGAATTGCAGTCGTACGGTAACTATGTTTAACACTCTGAGAAACTGCCAAAGTGCCTGCACCATTCTACGCCCCCATGAGTAATGCGTCGGGGTTCCAGTTTCTCCAAGCCCTCGCCTCCCACACTTGTCTTTCTTTTTGACTCTAACCTTCCTGGTGAATGTAAAAAAGTATCTGTCTCATTTTAATTTGCATTTCCCTGATGACTAAAGTTGCTGAGCCTTTTTTTTCATGTGATTATTGGCCATTTAGACATCATCTTTGGAGAAATGTCTGTTCAGATCCTTTGCCTGTATTTTAATAGGGTAATTTGTTCTTCTGAGCTGTAAGTGTTCTTCATGTGTTCTGAATTCAAGTCCTTTCCAGATACATGATTTACGGATATTTTGTCCCATTCTTTGGGTGGTTTTCCATTTTCTTGATGTGAATTGGTGAATTGTAATATTTGTAGTTTTCGTGTTTCCTGAAAACCTCAGTTTTCAAAGTTGTGTCCACATTGTCTGCTGGGTGGGTGGGTCCCAAGTCAGGGAGGCGTGACGTGAACATGAAGGACAAAGGGGCTGCGGCAGTTTCCTGTAGGGTAGAAGCTCCTGCGTTGGTCACAAAAGCGCAGACTTTCCGAAGGCATCTGGCTGAGCCCCGCAGCCGGGGAAGGCAGCTCGCCTTTGGTAGCGCACAGTCGCACCTTCACACGGAACCGGAGTTTGGACGTAATGATGGAAAGCACTGAAACCTTCCTTCTGCTTCCAGACTGCCGATTGCTAACCCGGCACCCGTTGGCTTTCCGTTTAACCTGACTTCTCCCCTTTTCTTTTCTTCTGTCTCCCCCTTCCTCTTGCCCCTCTGCCCTCCCCACTCCCTGTTTCAATTTCAGATTGAAAATGGCTCAGGAATCGGTCAGCAAGTTGACGTCAGAGAAGAAAGTGGAGACAAAGAAAATCAACCCCACGGCCAGTCTGGTGAGATGCGTTTTTTTTAGCATAACCTCAAATTTTTTTCATTATTACTGAGGTGCACCCAGGAGTGTGTCTGCATTTAAAGGATAAGCCCCAGGGGAGTGGCAGGTAGTATCCAGATTCCCAGTTCCTGCCCCAGAGTAGCATGGGGTAGATAGAATACACATACATAGGGA